GCATACATGGAGTCAGCGCATGATTCTCTCGTAGGGGTTGGGAGCTCGTGGCAACATTCGCAGCTAAGACTACTTAACCCATGCGTTTCCCTCTACCAAGTTACTAAGTAGGTGGATAGCATCGGACTCTGTAATCTCCCTTCGCACACAACCTCAATGCTGCCTTGCTCCAACATGCATGGCAGGATGCAGGTGACAAGGGGGGGAGTTCTCCCCCATGATTGGGGTTTCGATGCTTGGGAGGCCAGAAATGCGGCCGCTCTCACACCGCAGTGGGAATATGTGCAGTAAATCGCTTCCTCGGTCGTTAGGGTTCAGATTATAGCAGATTGATTACCGAAAGATTCACCTTCGATCTCGCGTGCTTTACTAGTTGACATGAAGCCATTCCAGCCAGAGTTGGTAGTATTTCGACCCCAATGACACCCATTGCTGGCCGTAGGCGTAGGCAACTGCCCACTATAGGTCGGAGTTTCTGAGAGTCGCAGGGTCTGGCTCATGTTTTTAGGGCCCGAGAAACAATCTGAGCGATAAAAGCTACAAAGCTCTGGAGGAACAGCCGCGGAGAGTCTTCCGAGATGGTCAGCTCTCAAAGAACAGCCCAGCATTCAGCCCCCAGGTTGCATTCTCATTGAAATCCCTGGCTACCTGCAGACGCTCATCTTGCTCAAGGGAACAAATTTGCCCCCCGGGGATGGTTACCGGCATAACAGTTCCCAGTCTGCCTTCGGCCATTCGCCAATCCCTGGATGCCCTGGTTAGCCAAGTACAGCCACCTGGTCTCATGTAAATCCTGTCTATCCGACCCATGATACTGCGTATGCAATAGCATCCTTCAGAACGCGTGAGGCAACCGCGTCGGTAGAAGTGGTAGCGTTCATGGGTAGATAACGCGCTCATGGAGCGATATCACGTGGCTGATGGACCACCTCGTCGCCCACAGCCCTCTCAAATTGTCGGAATAGTCTTTGAAAAGAGAAAGAGCGGTGTCTAAGATGATCAAGTATAAATAGGAGTAAAAGATTCCTCTCACGATCTCTTCATGTCGTCTCTTGGCTGCCATCGATTTTTCTTCTCCCGACCCCTGATCGCGCACTGCCGAGTCCCTTTTCTCTCAATACCAAATTTCTTGGCACCACGAAGCGAAGATGTCTACCATCCAGCAGCCTCCGATCAAGTGTTGCTCTCAATCCGGCTGCTACTGGGATCAGAAGTCAGACACCGATACCCATCGTACGCACATGCAGAAGCATGGTGAAGGGGACTTGGTCGAACACTGCAACATCGTCATGAAGAGTGGGATCGACATCGAGATTCATAAGAAGAACTGTTGCATCTATAAAGCTGCCATGGCTCTTGAGAGACAGAAGAAGGCTACCAAGTCCACGCCTGTGAAGTCTAAATAGGTGAGATCATACCCTTGAAAGTAAATCAAAACGCAAGGCTCAAGTTGTGTGCAAAGACTTCAAAAGTCTGCCGATAATATGGAGACTTGAAAGGGACGGATATGTTCTAAGAGACGAGGAAAGTAGGAGATTTCATCAGAGAGATGTGGGTGAATGTAGCAAGAAATACAACGCAAAATTTTGAACAAACGAAAAGGTTTCAGGAGTTTGATTGCATTCTGGGCATGCCACAAGGCTTGTATCTCGTTCTCAAGGATCCTAGGTAGATACACACAGTACCAGTTGATTTTTGGGAGCTCCTCCCAACTCTCTTCTCTGAATGACGTACACAAGATACGACTATTCATAAAGCCGACTGGTTCCATTTGACCTGATAATGTGCTTGAAGTACTTGATCTTCGACGAGTTGAAGGTTCTTTTACGACTACTTACCGCCTTGTTAAACTGCCAGCTCTATTCATCTACGATTGACATATCACGCAGTGACCCGGGAGGGATCAAGACATAATTCACTTGAGAAGCTTTAGGTAAGAAAGAGTCTATTAACCTAAAAGTGATGCCCTCAACTCTCTCGTCTTACAGCGAAACATGCGCAGGCTCTACGTGGGCGAACGATTCAATAGAGAATGTCGTTTCAGGAAGGTCTTGACTACCCACCTATGCTTCGTCACCTTGATCCGATTCGTCTTCCGACCAGCCTTTCTAATAATCTTCATCGTCCTCCTCAAAATATACCGTAGCAAAGTCCACCAGGTCACAGCCCATTTCGCCAACAGTATCGAACAGAATCTGTTCCGGTATGACCGTCGGAAGCCATGCATAGTACTCCGTTTCATACAAAGCGAATCCAAAGCTGAGTACGTGTAGTGGCGCGTCCTGAGGAAGTCGCAAACCTTGGTCGGGATCTAGCTTGATCGAGGTCCCAGAAAAGATGCTGTCCAGGCCACCTCTGCCGTCGGGGAGAAGGACGTTGTGTGCCCAAGCACGAACCATGCACCTTTGAATTTCTCCCACGTCTTCATGAGAAATTCTGAGCATCGCTTCTGATGCGTTGTCCTGAGCCTCCGGGATCAAGTTGTTCACACGATGGTCGATCCTTCTTGCACGGGAACTGATTTTGCGGCATGTATTGGATGAAAGAGTCAGCGTCCCATCCTCAAATTTGATAAAACCCTTGTCAGTATGCCACTCCTCTTCGTATTGGCGGAAGATAGCCAAAGCCAACCACATGGCGCCACTCTTGATAACATCGCTTGGCACGTCTATGCAATGCCGCTGCAATAGCCCGTTTATGGAATCTTCGTCAGCAAAGTGATCGGGTGAAATGACGAAGAAGGGATTTAAAGCGTGGCACGTGAGCACGATAGCCGCAATGTCGATCATCGCGGACCGGGCCGTGGCGGGCGTGTCCTTTGTTATGCAGCTCAGAAAGCAGGCTACTGACAAGTCGTTTCCCGTGGTTGATAAGAAGTCAAGAGTCCTCCGGGCCTGGGAAATGTTGAGATGTACACTGACTCCATCCATGCCGTAGTAGATGAGCCCCAACATATAAAGCCGACGGATAGCCTCAGCGAATGCCGGCTCCTTGATAACGAAGCAAACACGAAGACGATCGATAGTAATTTCAGGACATTCATCCATCACATAGATGATGAATACCGGAAGGTGAATATCTTCGAATTCCCTTTTAGGTTCCGCGTCGAGGATGTCCTGTAGTGCCACTTGGGCGTGGATGGTTCTATCCGCCTGCTCAACATCCTTGTCCAAGGCGCAAGTTATTTGAGTCAGCATCTTGGCCCTCGACATCGCCACCCATTTCTGAACCACATGCGATGTCTCTGTGTCGAATACCTCCTTTATCTCGCTATTGAGAATAATCAAATGGTACGAGTTCTTGGCATCATTCAACGATCTTCCCATCAAACCGGGGGTGATATAGATTGATCTGGTATCTTTCTCGTCAGTGAAGTACTTCCGAGCGGCCGCTAGAAGCGTTCGTCTCAGATGATGCCGCTTCCACTCGGAGTCTCCGTCCCAGAAGGCTATCGTTCTCGTTATCTTGTATTCCGACGGCCCCGGGTCCTGAACCATCGCATACGCTGGAGCAATAGCTTCCATCACAGCGTCTGGGTATTCCCCGTCGCTCGCTTTGTATTGAATCCATCTCAAATTTGACAAATTTGACGAATTGCTCCGCTGTGTCAATCGAAAAGCTGTGACGGGAGTCTCTGATCTGTTGGTTGCAACGGCGAGCATCCTGCCTAAATCTTTGTCAACGGGGGCAGATGACAACCAGACGAAGCGCAAAATAGTCGTCTGTTCGGTCTTCGCGAGAATGCTTAACTTGACTAACGAGATCGCATAGTCGACGCTCTTGGAGTGATCGGCGTCAATGATGATCAGCTTGTATCTGCAATTAAAGTCCGAGACGAATCCGATACCACCGTATCTTGATACCACGGGTCTCATTCCCACGGAATATCCAGCGCTGTCCCATTCGCTTTTTGACACCTCTTCTTTTTGGAGCGAACCGACGAGGTACCTGGACAAGATACCATTATCTCCGCTCGCCCTCATGCCTATGATATGCAAGACCAAGGCCAACCAACTACCGTCGTCGGTCGAGGGAGGTGATTGCACGTGAGCGACCGAATATCTTTCATCGCCCCCATACCATCTCGAGAGCTTGTCGATCTCGTTCTTCCATTCAGCCGGTATTTCAAGGCTCGGCGTCGCCATTTTTTCGTCGTGTTTCGATAGTCTGGCGGTCTGGCGTTCTGGTGTTCTGGTGTTCTGGGATGTACTAATTGAGGCACGTTAATGGAGTGACATGGTAAGCCAGGGATTTGGAGCAAGGTGCCTATCTAACGTGTGGAAGCGAAATGATCCATCCAGTATAACAGATACTTGCCTTTTCCCAAATTGGAAGGAACTCGACGGAAAGCTGAGCACCTAGACCGGCCCATGGAGGTGAGTACCTTCTCTCTGGGCATCTCACTCGATGGAAGGACATGAGGGCCTGGACTCCCTGCTCTGGGCTGGACAGAGGAAGACAACTCAGGTTGACGGAAAGTGTGCGTTGCATGTAAATAGGCACGCAGCGCTAAGTAATTAGCTTTTGCGAGGGACGCAAGTCAGCGCAACGTTGACTGCACTGATGTTCATCGGATCGGCCCGTTCCTCTTGAGCTTATTTCCCAACGGCTGTGCATAACGGAGTACTTGGACCTTGTCAGCATCAAGACATGCTCAGTCTCGTCACATCACGCCACAAATGATTCTGTAAAAGCGTGTTGCATTTGACATAATTGTTCTCGATTCCCGTGGTAGCAGGAGGAGTTGACTCGTGTTGACCCCGTATCACAGTCCCGTCACCTTATAATGTAGTGAATCTCAATAGATGGGCCTGTGTTCGGAGGGTTGTCAGTAGGTTTAATTGAACGTGGGAGGGATGCTTCCTGATGGAAATGGGCTGCGTGGGGAGGGGCTCTCAGGTAAACCAGATAGAGCATTGTTCTATTCTGCATGCTAGTGAGTCTTCTGTACCTGGCAAGATTGCTCTTCCTATTCCAGGTATTCGAGGTGGCCACCTCGCCTAAAGAGTCCTGTTGCCCTCCTGAACAGTCTGCTTCTCTTGGAGAGACTGAATCTTCTCTTGGAGAGCCTCTTCCTCATACTGGAGAGTTCTCTCACTCTCTTGGAGGGCTCTCCTTCTCGCTTGAAGAGCCTCAAGGGCAAGTGTTTTCTCTCGGAGAGCCTCCTTCTTCTGCTTGCGAGCCTTCTCCTCCTTGCGAGCCTGCTCCTCCTTGCGAGCTTTCTCCTCTTTGCGAGCCTTCTCCTCCTTGCGAGCCTTCTCCTCCTGACGAGCTTTCTCTTGAATAGTCTGCTGTGATTTCATATGGCGTTCGAATGCCTTTATGTAATCGTCGGAGGCCAACCGCGGGGTGTCGATGCTCGTTGCGCTCATTGCGCTCAGTGCGCTCAGTGTGCTCATTGCGCTCTTTGCGATGACCTTGACTTTCCCGGCTCCAGCGTAGTTGATTTCATCCCAGATTTTTCCAATTTGACGCTCAACACCCTGTGCATCCGTCGCCCAGATCTCGAGTGCGAAGCGAGATTCAAACTCACTGCAGGAGGCTTGATGGTCGAACTCGATGGTCCGAGGACGGAAACCACGCCAAGACACGCCGAGTGAACTGCCGTCGTCCTTACTGGCTTGACTATCTTCGTTTCCATCACCCAGTCTCCGCTTCTTCGTCGCTTGGCTGCCTTGGGAGTCCATGACTTCTTCTGAGAGGATGTGTGGATGTGGGTATGCGTGTGCGCGTGTGCGCGTGTGCTGGTGTGCTGGTGTGCAGTTGCAGAAGTGAGGAGATGTAAGGTTGTGTGAAAGATTCTGAGGGCAGGCGGATGATTATCGTAGGGGAAGCAGGAGCGTGGGCCGAATCGGCCTGTCTTTCCGAATTTTGTACGCGATTTGAGGCAGTCAGGCAGGCATATCTAACCAGAGTGACTAGGTTCCTTCCCGTCTCTATCACCTTACTGCGTTTGCCTGGAAGAATACTTCCGCCGTCATGCACTTTCCTGGGTCCTTGGCTTGACTTCCGAAAAGATCATGATTCACCTCATTCTCTAGGAAACGAACTCTTCATATTTTCACGGCACCTTCAAGCCGGAATTTTGTGAGCATTTGGCTAACAGCTTGATTTGACCAGGCACTTTGAGACGAAACCAAGACTATACTACAATAACATTCACACGAGCCAAATTCATCACTCTCGCATAAACGGCACCCTGGTCTCCCTGACGATGAGACGTCGCCCTCGCAATAGCGATAAAGTTCCCCGTCGTGTTGTAGACAACCGTGTGCTCAATCGTCACAGTCTGGTTAGGCGTGAATGCGGGCCCTACATCAGTAAAGGTGCCCTCCGAAGTCAGATCCCACTCGACATTGACAACCTTGCCAGTCCCGGAGGGTGTTTCGACAGTCGCTCGTAACGTCACCGACTGGCCGGCTTTCACCGTACAGCTGCATCTTCCATTCGCAAGAAGCTCAACAACCGGTTGGATTCCTCGCCGTTCGGTCGCTGTAGGTGGCACCTGGACCGAGTTGTCGTCGGCCGAAATAGTATACGACGTGGTATCTGGCGCAGGCACTCTATCCTCCACCCAAGCTGCCACGTCTCGGAGAGCTTGTTGGTAGATGCCGTTGTACGGCACAATGAGTGCAAGACGGTGTGGAGGCCTTTTCTCGTAAAAGTGCTCCGCATTGTCGTTGTACCAAAGGCGATAATTATCCTCGAAGCGATCTCCCAGTTGCCGCTTAACTTGCGAACGATACCAGTCGGCATGCCACGGAAACGCGTCGCTGTCCAGCAGGTTCTGAACGACGATGAGTTTGCATCCGATGGTGCCAGTGTGATTACCGCCAGAGACGGATCTGGCGAGGGACTTGGACGTGTCAGGGGTCCGTTGGGGGTAGTTCGTGCCATTGACGGTCCGGAACTGGTCGAATCCGTAGAATCCTACTCGTTCCGGGATTTGGTGTCTGTAATAGGAGTGCATTGCAACAGAGGACTTGTTGTCGATGTGGACTTTGACTCCCTTTGCAATAAACTTTGTAAGAGTGGCATCGTTGGCGTCGGCAGTGTAGTCGGTGAACAACATGGTGTAGTTGGCCGTAGACAACGTGCCGCTGATGGTTCTTAATTTGAAGTCGTCGGCTCCAAGCAAACCCAGGTCGTACCCGTATACGTCAGCAACAGCTTCCGGGACTGTGTCGAGTCTTATGCTGACCAGCTTCCCATCGTTGTCAAGCTGAACATCCTCTACCGTCGCATTGAAGTCAACTACGGCCTCTCTCATGGCGATTCCGAGCGCACTATCCGCCGTTCCGAGGTAGCCCGGCTTGGACCAGAAATCTTCGACGTATGTAGGGTCCGAAGGCTGGATAATGGTATTCCGCAGGATGTTCAGATGTGAACTGTCAGCGACCTCATCATACTGTTCCCAGGCACGGATGGGGACACCAAGCTTTGTGGCTTCAATCAGCATGCTTCGCTCGAGCTCCGTCATTGATGGTATTGAGAGAGGATTTCCACTACCCCCGGGCTTAAGGGAATCCTGAATCTCGGTCTTCCTGTTCCGTAGAACTAAACCCGCCATTGCCCTGATCGATGGGCTGTTGGGGGCGGAAATCGGCACGGCTTGGACCATCGCCACAGCGCCGTCCCAGACGCCGACTGTATTCTCAATACCCCCAATAACCTGGTTAGAGCCACCGCTGCCGCCGTAAACGTAGCCATAGATATGCTGAGTGCTTGTGAGACGATAATATCGCGCCGCAACAATCCGGGAATACCTTGCTGCTGCTGCTTCGGCACGGAACCCGTTTGACCCCGTGACTTGGACCGTGTAGGCCTTGCTGTCTAGCCCGAACCCAATGGTTTCCTCAGTGGCATTCGCGGACTGCGTAGGGTAGGCGAGTTGGAAGAAACGACCGCCCCAGGCATCTTTTGGCGGAAAGTAGAAGTTGAAGCGAGTGGACGTGTTAGAAAAGTGCCCCGCAACGTGGTGATGGGGACCTGGGGAGATCTCGTCGGTCTCGCTGTCAATCACCGGCTTGCTGTAGAGAGGATCTATGCAAGCTGGAGAGACCAGAGCAAAGCCATTAGAACCATGAGGAGATTCGTGTGGAGTTGTGGGGTTTGCCGCGATCGCTGAACAGACAAGTAAGGTCAGTGCGACGAAGGCTGTAAGCGAAGCTTGTAGATGCATCGAGTGGTTCGACGACGTCTCTCAATCTGTGTTCTACTGGAAGACTTTGGGCATTGGGCTAGGACCTTGCCGTTGAAAGGAGCAGAAGAGTTAATGGAAGTAAAGAGTGTGGGTGAATGCCATATAGTGTCCAGGGCGGGAAGCATCTTTGCGGTGAAGATGCCATTTTTAAGCATCCAGAGAGCAGCATCGCCAAGCCGAGTATCTCCTATGTGACCCCTTAAATCATTTCAATGGGCATCGCCAAGTTTGCGGGCCTCCGTATGGACATCGTTTGCTTGCACAGCGCTTCCCTCAGCGGCTCCGATGATTTTTCGTATCCGATACGACAATCATTCCGACGTCGCACTGGATACTTGTGCCTCGTATCCAACCCATAGCACTCTAGACGACGCCGGTTCTCTGTCCTCGGTGGATTTAGATTTAGGGATAGCACGCTGCCATGTTTTGCTGCTGGTTCATGCGGCATGACCTAGAGCCGTTCTGGCGAGTGGCCTTCTCATCGAGGCGTGTGTCTGAGGATCCGAATTTCCAGTACCAAGGGGTTGGCGCTCCGCCGTCGACAAGCCAGACAGCTCAGGCGCGCACTTTGTAGACATGATCCATCATAGTCTCGTTGAGACTTTCCAAGAGATCAGCAAGGGCCATTTTACTGGTCCCGACGTCGCCGTTTCCGTAGTTTCAAAAGAGCTGTGTTCACTTTGTGGCTTCAGAGTTGAAATTGGCTGAACTTTGAAGACAAGTCATCTCCGCTGCCATGGATATGTCAGCTGCCGGCTGAATGCCCGCCACTACTCTGCGCTTCCAGCTCTTAGACGCCTGCAGACATTCTTCAGGTTACCTTCATACCAACATCGGAATCTTCTTGACATGCTTTCTTCGAGGCATTGTTAGGGTCATATTGAGAAACGACTATTTCGAAAAATTAGGGAACCTCTGCTTGTTCGCCTCGTCGACTGCCTTGCGTACACCCGTAACATTCTGAAGCACCGTGGGATGATCAGAATGCACGCAGATGCTGAATGGCTTTCCCTCAAAGCCAAAGCTAAAGATACCGCCACTGTTATCCTTGCCTTCGTCCTTCAGTGATGCAGACAAAGCCCTCTCGTAGCATAATTCTGGTGTAGCCACCTTGGACTGTGCCACCGGTATGAGCTTGCCCTCTGGAGAGTAATCAATGTCGACGTAGACCTCCCCTTGGAACGGGATGCCCAGCTCCTTGCACATAGCTTCTTGTGTCGCGTTTTGCGATGCGTAGACTGGGATGTTGTCCCCAAACGTGGCGCAAGCTTCCAAAACAGCTCTCATGATGGTCTCGTCTCTTTGCATGTAGAAGAAGAGCTCCCCGTGAGGCTTGATATGGGATAACTCGACGCCTTCCGAATTGAGTATGGCTTTGAGGGCGCCGACCTGGTACAGCACCATGGCATACATGTCTTTGGGGTCAATCTCGATCTTTCTGCGACCGAAGCCGAACATATCTTGCAGTCCCGGGTGCGCTCCGGCCTTGACGCCGTGCTTCTTGCACAGGCGAACTGTCTTGAGCATGATAGAAGGGTCGCCGGCATGGTATCCGCACGCAATATTGGCGGCGTCGATGTACGGCATCAGTTCCTCGTCCGGGCCCATCTTCCAGCGGCCGAAGCCTTCACCCATGTCGGCGTTGATCTCGTATTTGCGCGCCAGTCCTGAAGCCATTTTGAAGTGTTGGGATAACGGGCGATGTCCGGGGAGGTTTGACTGTCGAAAGACAGTCTGACGTAACGAGAGAGGATGGAGTAAGCGTGATGGAGGCATCTTGTCTTTGCTGCCTCAATGTCGTCTAGTAAGAGCGCTTCAACGATCGAAGTGAGAGGTGGATGATACTCTACTGTTGGGGTAGACGTTTGGGGTCCATTACTCCAAAGGTCCGTCTTGGGGTATGCTGGATCAGGCGGTCCTTATCACTAAACTCCGCCGACAGGTGTTCTTGATAGTAGGGGTGCCCATTGTGACCCCATCAATTGGTACGATGCGGGGTCGTTACTGCATCTGCCATCCACACACACCCTTTGAGGTACAGGCCAACGACGTCAACTGAGCAAAGAGGTCAATCATCTTACCATAAACCTACCACAGCCTACCGGGACCTCCACCCGACAAACCTTCATGCGCTTCGCCGATGATCCCTTATCTCGACCCGGTACTCCGGCAATGCTACTGGATGCGTTCCCCTCTCCTGGGACTCTAGCTGTTGGGGTAACGACATGAGAGGCATTCAGGGTAGCCACCGGCCTGGTGTGGGCGCGTCTTGCCTTCGAATCACTAATATGCGGACGAACGGAATGGGCTGATTGATATACTGGGGGTCACGAACCCAACTTCGTACGGTCTAACCCTCCATGTGCCCTCTAACCGCGTCCAAATTGTCGCTGACTTGTTCAAAGCCTCAACGAAGCTATGCATTCCAGGCCACTTCGTAGCATTAAGAAGGTCCTGGTGGCCAATCGTGGCGAGATTGCCGTTCGCTGCATCAAGGCCTGCCGTGAGCTAGATGTCCACAGTATTGCCATCTATACGGCCGCCGACACAACATCACTACATGCGTTGTTAGCTGACGAGGCGATCGCACTGCGGGGTAACGACACCTACACAGATGGGTGAGTGACACCGAGTTGGCCGTAGCATCATGCTTCTCACAATCACATCAGAGACGCCATTCTAGAAATCTGCAAAAGCTGCGGCGCCGACGCTGTGTTCCCCGGATATGGCTTCCTCAGCGAGAACGCCGACTTTGCCGATGCCGTCACGACTGCAGGCAAGATCTTCATGGGTCCTTCATCCGCTTCCATCAAGGCCATGGGTCTGAAGCATGAGGCGAGAGCCATTGCTGAGGCCGTAAAAGTCCCCGTCATCCCCGGTACTTCGTTAATTCCATCAACCCCCGAGGCCATAGAAGGGGCCAAGAAGCTGGGTTTCCCGGTCATGCTCAAAGCCACTGGAGGAGGCGGCGGTATGGGCCTGCAGATATGCTACGACGACGATGATATCCCAAAAGCATTCGTCACAGTCGAGAGTCGTGCGGGCGCTCTATTCAAGAACAGCGGCGTCTTTCTGGAAAAGTATTATCCTCGGTCCCGACACGTAGAGGTGCAAGTCTTTGGAAACGGCGAGCAAGTTGTTGCGTTCGGGGAGAGGGAATGTTCTCTCCAACGACGTCACCAGAAAGTGGTTGAAGAGTGCCCCAGTCCATTCGTTGCGCGAACGCCAGGTCTCCGTGAGAAGATGCTCCAGGCGGCAGTCGACTACGCCTCACAACTCAAGTACAAGAGTGCCGGCACTGTCGAATTCTTGGTCGACGATGAAACGGCCGATTTCTTTTTCCTCGAGATGAACACGCGTCTCCAGGTCGAACACGGCATCACAGAAATGTGCTATGGGGTTGATCTGGTTCACTTGATGCTGCAGCAAGCCGACTACGAGCACGGCGGCCAGCTCGGCATCCCCTTGGACGAGCTACGAAGCATCCCACAAGCACAGCCGAACGGTGCGGCCATTGAGGTCCGAGTATATGCTGAAGTGCCCTTGCTCGACTTTGCTCCTAGCCCGGGCCTTCTACAGCGTGTCAGCTGGCCCAAGGGCGATGGTATCCGGGTGGATACATGGGTAAAGAGCGGCCAGCAAATCACACCCCTCTACGACCCTTTGGTCGCAAAAGTCATGGTGCACAGCAATGACGGTCGAGCTGAGGCGCAGAAGATGATGCTCGCCGCTCTTGACCAAACTGTTTTGCAAGGTACACAGACGAACTTGCAGTACCTTTTGCAGGTGCTACGTTCTAATGAGTTCACCAAGGGTGATACGCTCACCTCTTTCCTACCCATTTTCAAGGCAAAGGTGTGCGCCGTACAAGTACTCAACCCTGGTGTATTCACTACGGTTCAGGATTACCCTGGGAGGCCAACGATCGGACACGGCGTGCCTCCCGGCGGACCAATGGATGATTTGAGCAGTCGGACAGCAAACATTCTCGTTGGTAACGACGCTCAAGTCGAGGTCCTCGAAATAGCAATGTCTGGCCCGGAACTCCTTTTCCATGAATCGGCCGTGGTGGCCGTGTGTGGTGCCCAAGTTCCCGTCAGTGTTGACGACAGGCACCAGCCAATGTGGTCCCGAATACTCGTGCAACAGGGGCAGACGCTCAAGATTGGCAACGTCACAGGTGACGGCCTTCGGACCTACCTCGCAGTCAAAGGAGGCTTCCCAGACATCCCTCTTTATCTCGGCTCCAAATCAACGGCGCCAGAGCTCGCGTTCGGCGGTCTTCAGGGCCGTAAGCTGCAGATCAACGATATTCTCGCCCTTGCCGCTGAAACAGCAAGTTGGGCAGCGGCAGCCACTCCCTTTTCGTTACCACAGAAGGCAATCCCTGATTACGGGCACTCGGAGATATTCTGCCTTAATGGTCCGTATGGCTCGGAAGACATATTGACCCCCGAGGGTATGGCAACAATCACCAACTCCAAATGGACCGTAAGCCACAATAGTAGTCGCAGTGGCATTCGACTAGAGGGCCCACGACTAAAGTGGGCACGCACCACCGGCGGGGGAGGCGGATCTCATCCATCAAACGTCTTCGACTACGGGTATCCCAACGGCGGTGTCAACTGGACCGGGGAGTTTCCCATCATCTTTTCCCGCGACCGCCCGGATCTCGGTGGGTTTGCTTGCGCGGTCACCATCTGCTCAGCCGAGATGTGGAAAGTTGGTCAGCTGAAGTCGGGCGACAGCGTTCAGTTGCGACTGGTTTCCTTTGAGGATGCCATGAAGATCAAACACACAAACGAGGCCTACTTGAGGTCTTTGGGTGCTCTGGTGGATGGTAATGATACAGAAATTGTGCCACTCAAGTTGGAGTTCGGCTCACGGACCACAAGTTCAATATTGCACCTGGTCGAACCGAATGGAGATCATCCTCGCGTCACTTACAGGCAAGGTGGCGACACTTCCATCATAGTAGAATATGGTGAACAAGTTGCGGATCTGCGCAACACGGTCTGCGTTCATATTCTCGAGGGAAAGCTTGCGGCGCGCAACCTTGCGAGCGTGCGTTGTGAGCCGAACCTCGCTACGCTCACAGTGCACTACGACCCGCTCCAGGTCTCCCAATCCGAGCTGTTGCAAAGCCTGATTGAGCAAGACGAGAGTATCGAAGAGATTGTTGGCATCAAAGTGCCCGTTCGCGAAGTCAACCTGCCGCTTTATGTTGACCACCCCACCATCACAGAAGCGACGGAAAGATATATGGAGAGCGTTCGGCCCACTGCTGCCTACCTACCAGACAACGTCGAGTATCTGCGGAAGAATAACGCATTGGAGACTCGCCGCGATGTATTTGACTCACTGCTCAAGACACCCTGGCTCACAGTTGCAGTCGGCTTCTTCCTCGGAACCCCTGTCATGTTTCCGCTCGACCCCAAGTACGTGTTCACGGGGCAGAAATACAACCCTAACCGCGCGTACACTCCGAGCGGCTCAGTCGCACTCGGTGGGTCTCTGCTTGTCGTTTATCCCGTGGCCTCACCGGGCGGCTACCAACTCATGGGCCGCACGTTGGGTACGTGGGATATGATGGGTACTCGAGCCGGCTTTTCCCCGACGCGACCTTGGTTGTTCAACAATTTCGATATCGTTAGATTCCACGAGGTCTCCAAGGAAGAATTTGATCAAGTAGAACGAGACTTTGAGGCCGGTAGATATGTGTTCAACATTTCCGATGAGACCATCAGCATGGACGAGTACATTGCCAAGTTTGACGCCGCAGCCCGCGATCCCGCACATCAAGAATGGCGGCAGCGTCAGGACGCCGCTGCCAAGGAAATGGGAGAGCTCGAACAGCGGCTCTTCGGTGAATGGACTGCCGCCAAGGATGCGGCTCTGTTAGAACAGAGTGAAGGGGGCGGGGACGATGCATCAGCAGATGCTGTGGCTATCGAGTCGCCCATGAACGCCAACGTCTGGAAAGTTCTGGTAGAAGTCGGGGACGTCCTTGAGGCGAAGCAGACGGTGGCGATCTTGGAGGCGATGAAGATGGAAATCAAGGTGATTGTTCCAGACTCTCATGTCGGAGCAGTCGTGACGAAGATTACACGCCCGCCAGGGACTGTCGTCAGTCCTGGGATGCCAATAATAGTGGGCAAGAAGGCCTCTTAGCCTAAGGTAGTATGTATGCTGAGTTGCGACGATCCTGAGCTGCTGAATATTACGCTGTTAATGACCAAACGGAGGCTCCTTTTCTTTATCGTGACTCATGACTGCCGAGTGTAATGTGACTCCATTCACCTTGGCATGGGGTGACGAATTGAGCCAGACCCGACGGCCCGCCGGGGGTTGTGACCCACTTTCTCGGGGCTGACCGACTGCCGCTACCGGACTCTAGGCCCCGCTTGAGGTTGAGCAAATAAGAGAGCATTGTGCAGGTTGAATGAGGAAATTCGTCACCCGTATTTTCCCTTTTCTTCTGCACCGTTGATAAGTGCACCATTTGCGTCGTGGATCCGGGAGCATCCTGGCCACCCCCACCCCCCGGCACAAGCTATCTTCCCATTGGAAGTATGTGTCCGTCAAGCTGTCGGCCCGGCGGGGAAAAATTGGGTTCCGGGTTGGGTTGCACATCTCAGAAGGCTCCGAAACGGCCCTTGCATTTCATCTCGAAGCCGAGAGCATTTGAGTGGCCGGCCGGAGAGGATTCGTCATGCGTCAACCAGGAAGCTGGAAAGTATACCGCCGTGTACGAAATGGTCGGATCTCGATGCTCCCTTGGTTGTGCTCGAGCGATCTAGGTCGATAAAACTATGAGGTGATAGAGAGAAGATGGCGAGAACCCGATGTACTGCCGACCCCAGGCATTCCCAACAGCATCAATGGGTGCAGTTTGAGACACGTCGTGTGACCAGGTAATCTACGTCCAACTTCATTCACGCTGCCGCTTCTGCACATGCTAGTCGACAACTTACAAGGCAAGGTCAATAATGCGGGTCAAGCCGGGAGATCATAACGTCTGATCCATGGGTTGTAGGGCTGAGCCGATGTTGATGGCCGATAGTCACTTGGTGAGGAAGGCCGAGATCCGCACTACACAAGTTACAGCTGCACGGACTGAGGTGGCTGCCACCTGTCGCGGCGTGGTGGCCGACAACCGCCCACCATAGACATTGCCGGCCGTTGAAGAAAGCGCACAGCTGCTCAGGTTTGTATAAGTGGCTTTCAAACTCTCGATCCGGACCACCTTGGAATCCGGGATGGTTTCTGGATTTGCCAGGTATCAATATTCGCCTCTTCTATTGCGTCAAAGGGATACCTTACACTCAAACACGCAGCGACGATCAGCACCTGCACCTTGCGTCTTTGACTCCTGCCTTTTGTCTCTCCTCCACAGGGCCTCAAGCCAGGGCCCGCTTCCCCGAACTGATTTCGGTCCCGAATTTGGTCTCCACTTGACAAACATTTGACACTTCCATTGCCTTGGAAGGCGAGGCTTACACTTCCATTACGGATACATCAGCCAACCAACCACCAAACACGCGAATAAGGAAACCTTGGTGCAAGCCACCAACGACGACCTCATCCCTACCCGCATTCGTCCCACGACAATCCAACACTAACAAAGACGGCACGTAGCACACAAGTCGACGCCTCAGCCACCGCGGGCAGCTCAAGCTTTGGTCCAATTGGCTTTTCAATTGGCTACCTCAACCCCCTGCTTGTGTGGAGGGGTCCAGGGCTCCCAGACAGTCCAGACTCCAGGACCGTTCAGGCACCTCTTGACGGGTTCAACCCACCGTATCCGTGCGCCGCAGCTCTTTCCTTGCTGCCTCCCGGTCGATGGTTTGGGGGTGGCCAGAGGTCACAAACATTCTGCTCTCCTGGTCCTCGCTACCAACGGGATACTAATACGCCCTCTGGCACCTTCTTTGTCGCCGACCAAGCGTCTTCTTTCCCTCCTGCAACCACCCATCGACTTCCCACGCTTTGCTAGAGGCCAAAGATTGAGACAGGCACAGAGAGAGAAACAGAATATCGACAGCATTCCACAATCGAGTGATAACGAATCCCGGGGAGCCCACGGCAATCGGCCGCAATTACCAAACCTGAAGAATAGTCTTCGACATGCAATCCTCGCTGTCGCCCGAAGTCCCACCTCCCCCGGGGAGCACACACAGCACACACAGCAACGGGTCCCCGAACCCTCTGGCAATGGTGCCCGACTCCGAGTCACCAGCCGACCGCGACTCGCCAAACGCATCCTCCTCGGCGACCAGTGATTCTCGATCCCAAGGACAACAGCCTCCCGTCGTAGCGGTCCCCGCTGCATGTCTCGCATGCGTAAGTCGCCCCTCCATGTCAGCTCAGGTCCCCCGTCGTCGTCTCTCACTGCTCTCCATTGGCTCCGGTGGAGACGGTGACGGCGAGACGGGCACCACCCTCCTTGGCGTGAGAGTACCATCCCTAGCGAGGCCAAGACTGACCTCAATCTTATTCTGTGACAGCGCAGCAAGCATCTCAAATGCGACGGCCAGAACCCGTGCTCGCGATGCCTGAGCTCCCAGTCCGAGTGCGTTTACGTCGCTTCTCGGCGCGGCTACAAGGGCCCGAGGAGGAATAACACCGCCAATCCGAACAAGAGAGCGCGGTCTTCTTCCCCCACTTCCACCGTAGGTGTCGGCGACAATAGCTGTCCAATGCTACTTGGCGCAAACGGCACTTCAGTCCCCACGACGATGCAGAACGGAATGGCATTTAATACCCCGGGCGTCGTCCTTCCAGACACGCCCAGCACCACCTTTGCCGCGACGCCCAACTTTTCAAACCTGCAGCTCTACCGGTCTTTCGGTGCTGCCATCGGCTTCAACTCGACCCAGCTGGCCCTGGGTCAATCTCAGCCCGGTGTACCTGCGCAAGTCCCCGTGCCTACCTTGGCTGAACGATGTCTCGACTCCTTTTATCACCATTTCCATGGCTCGCACCCATTTGCCTTACCCAAGGAATGGCTGCTCCGTATCATGAGAGACACCAACGTGGAGCCTCTCCTGGCTGCCATTCGGTGGGTTGGAGCTCTCTTCCTCGATGTGGGACCTGCGCGGGCTGGCTTCCTGGATGAGGCCTTGCGTCTGGTCCAAGATCCAACGACTCGGAGGGATGGCTTCTTCGTGCAAGCCCTGATCCTCCTAATCGTAGGCCTCGACGGCAGCTGTGAGCAGGAAAAGGCCCGAAATCTACTTGGTGACGCCGAGCGCATCGCTCTCGAACTTGGACTGAATACCCGTGAATATGCAACACAGTATGGGCGCGGTATCCCTGTGCTGGAGGAGAGCTGGCGCAGGACGTGGTGGGACTTGTTCGTTGTAGACGGCATGGTAGCTGGTGTACACCGCCAGACCAACTTCCTCCTGTTTGATGTCCCCGCCGATGCCGCCCTACCGTGTGAGGAGCACCAGTATTTGTCTGGAGTGAGTATTCCTTACTATCCTGGGTGACGGTCAAAGGCTAAGATTCTGAACTAGAGTATTCCGCCGCCCTTGACCCTGACGGACTTGGAAGACCAAGACTTTTCCGGGGACGACAGGCAATTCTCCTCGTTTGCGTATCGCATTCTCGCAGGGCGGAACCTCGGAAAGTTCATGCGCGTGCCACCAATATACGGCCCTGATGATGAGAATCTCTCGCGAATCGAGGCCCTTCTGACCAACTGGAGGCTTCACCTGCCGCTGTCCAAGAAGGACGCCCTGAACCAGAAGCTGCAGTCGGATGAGATGATTTTCCAGGCCAACATGATGACCAATGCGTACGTTTGAACGTCTGTGGTATGTGAGCATTGTTGAACTGACGTGATGTAGGACATCCATCATGCTTCACCAACCCCACTCTCAGCTGGACTCCTCGCCAACACGGTCTGTAACATCCTGCGCACCGCACCGACCGGTTCCGTCTGGAGACTTGTTCAACTCGCACACGAACCACACGATTGCGTCGGCTGCCGAGATCAGCAAAATGATTACCCACCGCGTCCCTCTCCTCTCGCACACGCACTTCTTCACCTGCGTGGTGACGCTTTCCTCGATCGTCCACTTGAGCAAGTGGGCGCTCTTCTTCATCCCCCATGACGACGACGACCTGCGACAGCAGATTCGGCTCAACATTGGCGCACTCAACAAGCTCTCGGCGGTGTGGAAGGCGGCGGGCAACGCTTCAGGGCAGGTCAAGGGCGTCGCGCAGGAGATTTACCGGTCCAAGAAGGCGTCGCAGATCAACCCGACGTACTGGCAAGGTTTCACGCAGGACGAGGTGATGAACAGCATTGCGGCGGACGAGACGATTATGAACGATATTGAGACTGGGTTGAGCGGGATGCCAATGCCGCCTCTCGACAACCTCCCCAGCTAAAGCCCGGGGAGGTCTTTTGTGCGTACGAAGATAGGATTGGATAGCGTGGCGTGATATGTGGCGATTTGTTGATTTGTTGGCGATATATACCAGCTCGGGAGGCGCGCCGAGCAGTGGAGGGCGTTTGAAAGGAGTTCTCCGTGAGAGACAAATCTGTCTTGTTTATATTGGCCTGAACGGCATATATCTCTGCTCAGAATATACACGCGGCGGCATGGACCGCCATGGAATTTTGAATATGATTCTAATCTATGACCTGGAAAGTATTGGAGCGCTTTTTAGGCTCCAGGATTAATTCCATGATTTGTGAGCAGAATATTGTCATATTTCGAGCTTCCCGATAGCTCCTCCGCTCGAAAGTTCAATTCCGAAGATCTCTAAGCCCCCAAAAGCCCGTCGGGAAATCTCCAATCGCTAGATCCCACCGTCCCATTGAGATCCGCCACCTCTGAAGATCTAGCCATCGTCAGATTTCAGATCTCGAGTCAGCCAAGACTTGGTTGCCCCCGCTTTGTATGCACACTACTCCAGGCACCAGTTAATATTGTGATAATGCCTGTCCATAATGGAAATGTCGTAGCATTGAAGGATCGTGAAGAGCAAGGGTGGTGGTGTCCTACCCCGTTCTTTAAGCTAATCCCCATTCTTCTTTACGACGACGACACACCACCACCGGAGGATCGCGACGTGGAGTGGCAGACAGCCACACATTCGGACAACCTAAACTCAGCCCTCTGAGGCGGCGTCGAGAAATGAGACCCCTCCCTGAGATTCTCGATGGAACTCGTCCAATTACCTCGCGTGGCTTGGATGCAGCCACATTATTTGTACTGTGAAGGTAGCCGGTGCATGCACACCGTCTGCAGAGTAATACCCAAGCAGGTTGTCTCATTTTGTATGTCTGCGCTGTAATCCGAGTGTGTGCTGTCTCAGTGCAAACTAGCGGAGCGCCAATCCAGATACCCGTCGCCACCCTTCTCGGCGTCCACTTAATTACCTACCTACTTTACCCACAAGTTTCCCGTCCGAACTCTGCTCCAGCGCATCTTTCATCTCGGGGACCATTCGATGTTTCCCTATCCCCCGTCCTTGCTTGAGTTCTAGTCTTTTGTTTCCCACGCTTTCCCACGCTATTGAAAGGCTAGAGATTGGACCGTTTTGTTTTTGTGTTACCCTTCGGCTGTCGGCAGGAACCTCGTTTTTGTGCGTATGATTGTTTGGTGTCGAGGTAGCACGGGAGAGATGCGGGATGGATGCAAACCGGCTGGCGGCAAGGCGGGATGGGATGTCGGGGGGACCTACCGGTTGCCACATCTTCAGAGGCTCAGATGAAAGAAGTCCTTGTCCCATTGTAGACGTCTCCCGCCTGCGTGTGAGATGGATACAACATGACATGTCACACCCACTCGGTGCGGCTTGGAGATAACCGGCCCCCACGGCTACCTCCTGCGAGATAGATGAAGTGTCCCCCCGTTGTAGGCAGCGTCTAAGGTTCCATCGGGGATTAATCTCGACGTCATTGCCATGATTTCGCCAAGTGATACCGGCATCGGTCGAGGTTTCCCAAAGGAGCCTTCGTACTTCTGGCGGCGTCGAACCCTTGCCGAACATACCGGTCCACCCTGCCCAGGCAACCTCTTTCGAGATTTCAACGGGGCTCTTGTAAGTGAAATCACATCTACCTACTACGTATTGTGTTGTACATGCAGTACAGTAAACAATAAACGTGCCTGGATGTTTATGTGGGCAAGGCACGGCTGCTGCACCCGTCGTTGCGCTGCATGGCTGTTCCAACCACAAGGTTGCTTATTGTGTAAGGTACTATCAACGCGTGTTGGCGCTGCACCCTTACCTCGGCGCATTCTTTTTTCTTCCACTCCCCCTTCTTTGGCTTATGGAACAGAGCCGGGGTATCTGTGGGTGTGGCATGGGAGCTAAAAGAGACGTCTTACATGATGGTCGCCGATTACTAGTGCGGCAGGAATGAAGCCTATTGTCTGGTTCAGCCTCAAACGGCCTGGCCGCACCCCGGTCTCCCGTTGCTTACCTACCCACACCCTAGGTATCCGTACGCCATACCTTGCAACATGGAAGCAACACAAGCAGTGGATGCGGCGGCACGGCCGTCCCTGGCGAGCCGAGTAGGCTACATCTCTTGGCGGATGTCGGTTCCCCAGATAAGGATTTTGAAGGAGGAAGGAAGCGGTGGAGGGGAAGGATCGGATCTCATATAACGCTTGCCTTCCTTCCTCCTTGTTTTACCGGTTGTATCATAGTTGTGTTCCATTATTACTCTGATATCTCAAGATTTTCTTACATTGTGGTGAATTGAACATTCGAGTTACACGCACTTACCCCCTTTAGATTCCCAGTTCGAGCATCGACTTACAACAGTTTCTCGGTGAAACATCACCAAGAAACAAGGACAGAACACCATGACGATTCGAGATAGCGACGCCTCGGGTACGAAGAAGGAGCACACCAACATGACAAATGGCGACAACAACAGCTTCTTCGAGCACGACGTCGAGATGATGGGATCCGTAGACGCCCATCTGCTCAACACCACTGTCCAGAACATCTCGTGGGAGGGCACCGAGGTCACTGTCAAGGACAGGGTGACGAAGCAGCCCAAGAAGATTGTCGACCATGTCAACGGGATCGTGGAGGCGGGTACGTCTTGCAATTCCTTGTACTCTACTCACATGTCACATACCATACTCACACAACCTACTTTCCAGGCGAGATCTGCGCCCTCATGGGCCCCTCTGGCTGCGGCAAGACAACCCTCCTCAACGTTCTCGCAGGCCGCCCAACAAACGCCTCCTCGGTATCCGGCTCCGTCCTCGTCAACGGCGCGAAGCCCTCGCGCTCTCAGTTCCGCCAGATGAGCTGCTTCGTCGAGCAGGAGGACGCCCTCATCGGCTCCCTTACCGTCCGCGAGACTCTCTTGTTCACCTCGCGCCTCTCCAGCACCTCCTCGCTGCCCGCCAGCGAGCGCCTCGCGCGCATCGACGGCTTGCTTAACGCTTTCGGCCTCAACGAGCAGGCCAACACCATCATTGGCACGCCGATCCGCAAGGGTATCTCGGGCGGGCAGAAGAGGCGTGTTGGCGTGGCGAGCCAGCTTATCACGAGTCCGAAGATTATGTTTCTGGACGAGCCGACGAGCGGGTTGGATTCTGCGGCGAGCTTTGAGGTGATTAGTTACCTCAAGACTGTGGCCAAGCGGAGCAATGTAAGTCGAGTCGTCTGCCTCCTAACTTGACTTCTACGAAAACCCTAACACACCGACAGCTCATCGTCATCGCCTCCATCCACCAACCCTCCACCTCAACCTTCAACCTCTTTGACAAGCTCCTCCTCCTCTCCGCCGGCAAGACGCACTACTTTGGCCCCGTCGACAACGTCGTCCCCTACTACGAGTCCCTCGGCATGCCCATCCCCACACAGGTGAACCCGGCCGAGCACGTGCTCGAGATGGTCAACACGGATTTCGTCAAAGACAAGTGCCAAGCGGCGCAGAGGCTCGAGTCGATGCACGAGGGCTGGGAGGAGTCGCGTCCGGCCAAGGAGCTGCGGGCCGCCATCGCCGACGCCGAGAAGAATAGCACCGCTTTCGAGGACGACCAGGCGGAGAAGAAGCCTGGCTTGCCGAGTCTCGCGCTGACGTTGCTGCATCGGAGCTTCATCAAGAGTTATCGGGATGTTGTGGCGTACGGGATCCGGTTTGCCATGTACACTGGTGAGTTGCCATCTAGTTTGTGTGATTGCAAAGGAGGTGTGCTGACTAGATCTAGGTCTGGCTATCATGATGGGTACGGTCTGGCTTCGCCTTTCGACTGACCAAGAGTCCATTATCCCCTTGACCAATGCCATTGTAAGTACCCCTATAGTCCATACCAACTCTGATTCCCGGGCTTTACTGACCATCATACTAGTTCTTTGGCGGTGCCTTCATGAGCTTCATGGCAGTCGCCGCAGTCCCAAGCGTACGCAAACTCCCCTGCACTTTCGTATAACAGCAACTAACAAGAGCGGATGACAGTTCCTCGAAGACCGCGACCAATACGTGAAGGAGCACCAAAACGGCCTCTACGGCCCAACAGCCCTCCTCATCTCAAACTTCTTCATCGGCATCCCCTACCTCTTCCTCATCGCCCTCATCTTCTCCGTAATCTCCTACTGGCTCTCCAACTTCCGCCCCTCAGCCACGGCCTTCTTCGTCTGGGTCCTCTGGCTCTTCCTCGACCTGCTCGCCGCCGAGTCCCTCGTCGTCTTCTTCGTCTCCCTCTTCCCCAGCTTCGTCATCAGCCTCGCCCTCGTGGCTTTCGCAAACGGCCTCTGGATGAGCGTGAACGGCTTCATGGTCTCTCCCACCATTCTCAACTCGTTCTACAAATACGTTTTCCACTACTGGGACTACCAAAAGTATGTCTTTGAGGGCATGATGCACAACGAGTTTGGGCACCGCACGTATACCTGCGGGAAAGGGTGCCAGTGCATGTACCAGACCCCGCTGGCGAGCGAGTGCAAGATTGCCGGGCAGGGCGTGCTCGATACGTACGGGTACACGGAGAACCACTTTGGCAGGGACGTGGGCATCATGCTTTCCATCGTCATCGGATACCGCATCGCGGCGTGGATCGTGTTGAAGATCAAGAAGAACTGAGGAGGGTGCCCGCGCCGCTGGTCGGTCATCTCATGCCTCGTACAAGTGGTGTAAGGTCGGGAAGTGTATAAATGAGGTTCAAGTCTGTCTGTCTTTTCCGCTGGTATAGTTGATCTTACACGGCTTGCAAAAGCCTAATCCTATAGTGTTTCTCTATGTCGGTCTTTAGATGAAGGGGGGAGCGTAATAATTTGTTTGTAGGGGTCATGGCGTCCATTTGGTTTAGACGGTTTGTATCACTTAATTTGCAAGTCTCAATAATTGAAAATAAAATCCAAAAAAATCCTTCGGGACAGTGGCAAAGGAGTGAGTCGACTGAGAACGAACA